CTATTTCGATTTCGAATTTGATCCTCTCTTTTGATGATACCTCTCAATTAACGCGGCGTTGCCGTATATTCTTGAAAGTGGCAGTTCTGCGGAAATACCCTTGTTAATTTTTATAACACATTACTGGAAATATGAAATCGCCCTGTATATACAAACGACTTTATTTCGAGCCAAAAGAATCGTTCTTTCAATACACCCCTCTTTCTCTGTTTTGATGAGCCCTGTTAGTAATTAACGCGGCGTTGCCGTATATTCTCAAAAGTGGCAGTTCTGCGGAAATACCCTTGTTAATTTTTATTCCACATTACTGGAAATATTAAATCGCCCTGTATACACAAATAACTTTATTTCGAGCCTAAACAATCGTTTTTTCAATACACCCCTCTTTCTCTGTTTTGATGAGCCCTGTTAGTAATTAACGCGGCGTTGCCGTATATTCTCGAAAGTGGCAGTTCTGCGGAAATACACCCCATCGTAATTTTTTAACCGGACATCATCGAGCCGTCCGTTAGGCGATTACCGACCGTTATGACAATAACAGCGGGACGTTTGGCATTCTTTGAACTCTCTAGATCGACCCGGAGATGCGGTTCTTTTTTTTTTTTTTTCGCTCTTCTCGTTCTTCTTGCGTAGGTATTATATCTATATATACAAACGTTTCTTCCGACGTCGTTTCTTCGGAAGATTCATTAAGAGAACATGTTTTCGGAACGAGGTCGAACGAGACTTAGAGGAAAAACGGCCGTTTGTGCATTATTCGCTATTATCGCGCCGCCATTTTTTTTTTCTTTATTTCTTCTTTTATTCGAATCTTCAAATTTGGATTTGCAAATTTCGAGCCTCCTTATTGCGCCTGTCATTTCCGAACGCCACACATTAAAGCAATTTAATTGCGACGTTGCCACGTCCTCTAAATTATCCACGTTTTAGGTACAAAACCAACGAATAGATGTTTGTAAACAAAGCGATTCCTATACAGGTAATCCTGACCTATGTTAATGTACATCTCGGTATAACGACCATTTCCAAAAATAGTCAATCGATACGAATAAAGCGATTCGTTTCCTTTTCGGTTATTTTTTTTTTGTTTCGTTTTCGATCAACACACACACGCACATTCGGCGCCTTACCAAATACGGGGGGAGTAATAATAATAGGCGGAAGGTCGTCGCCCACTCTTCAGAAACAGAAACAACTTCATTAGATTTCGTTCTTGATTATTGCCTACTATAAATTATTATTTTTTAACTAAACGCGAACAATTTTTAGAGAATAAAATTGTCGATGGAATAGTCGAAAATCGAATAGGAAGGATTTTAGTAGGCTGCGGATTTTAAATTTGGCGGTATATTTTTCGTTTGGCTTGTTAATTGAGGACAATTTTTTCAGGAGTCGACTTTGATTTTATATTATATCTCTACATTATTTTTTTTTCTCCCGTGTAATGTTTTGGTAAAACGGGCGTGTAATTGATAAACACTCGGTGCATTACATGACTTTCTTCGAAAAATTCGATCGGTTTATTTACACTGGAATGATACGAAATTACTAGAAATTTGTGTAAATTTAATAATGTGGAATTTATATAACGTTTTTTTGCACGTTTTGCTGATTATTGCGTAAATCTAGAATCTAGTAGTTTAGAATTAAATAAAAAAATGCCTGTTAACAAAGATTTAATTGGGAAAATACAGGGTGTTAATTAATTGAGTGCCGATACTTCAGGATATGAATGTTTGGATGATTTTATGAAGAGAAGTTTATATCAATATAAGTTCTAAAACTCTTACTTTTTGAGCTACATGGTGATTACAGTTTTAGTCATAATTTTCTTATTACTCCAGATATTTTTTTGAAATTTTGTACACACTTTTTAATTATTAAGTTGCATTTTTTGAGGCAAAAGATTTTAATAAATTTTTACCAGTGACGTCCGTAGGGGTTTGAAGTGAATATGTTTGAAGAAAAAAATGCTACGCCACTGTTTTTTCTAAAAACCAAAAATATTTTTAAAATCCTCATTTATTTTGGAGCAAATTCGGTTTGAAAACTTACTTTCGTACGAGGCACCATTTTCGCGTAAAAAAATAAAAACCGAAACAATTTTTTGCAAAGTTCATTTTGAGACTGACTTTGATATTTTGTTGAAATTTGCCCATCAAAACATTTTTTTAAGAGAAAAAAAAAATAATTTTCCACTATTACCAGTGACTCCACGTCCGAAATTATTTAAAAATACCTCGAGTAATAAGAAAATTATGATAGAAAAGTTATTTTTTCTAAAATTCAAAAAAATGTAACACCCTGTAGCTCGAAAACTAAGAAATTTATGACATATATTAATATAAAATTTTATCTATAAACTTATCCTGAAGTATCAGTACTCAATTAATTACCACCCTGTATAATAACACTTTGAATAAACGATTTAACTTATTTCATATAGCGATTATTATTATTATTATCAAGAGAAAATTACAACCCGACGAGCGACATATTAAACGGCCTTGTAATTATTACATGCGATTATTACGCATAAAAACATGTTACGAATTTTGTAATAAATTTTATTTCTCGTAGTTATGGACAAAAAAAAAATGACTAACGCCGTCCTCCGAGAAATTGTCGCGTTTATTTCAAAACGAAAACAAGTTTTGGCAGGTCGATTTTTATATCCTCGTAATGTCTCGACTTGTCATATACTTATACAATGGTTTTTTTTTTATTTTTGTTACCGGGAATTTTCTAAACAATTAAATTATTGTTCATAGTATAGTGGACGAATATACATAACAAACGTTTGAGTTATTGAGGAATATACAAAAAATTGACGAATATAGAAACGAAGAAATATTCATTAAATTGAGGAATAAATTGAAGAATATAAAATTGGAGGAATGTATAAAAAATTGAGGAATATACACTAATAACGATTTGAATAATTGACTAATGGACAAACTGAAGAATTTACACTTAAGTTATTGAAGAATTGGCAACAAATTGGGAGAATATACCTGTAATGCATTGAGGAATAATCACATGAATAATTGACGAATAGACAAAAAAATTTACGAATATAGAAACGAAGAAATATTCATTAAATTGAGAAAGAATGATTTGAATTGACAAATATACACTTAAGTTATTAAAGAATTTGTAACAAATTGATGAATACAAAACATTGAGGAATAATCACATGAATAATTGACGAATAGACAAAAAAATTTACGAATATAGAAACGAAGAAATATTCATTAAATTGAGAAAGAATGATTTGAATTGACAAATATACACTTAAGTTATTAAAGAATTTGTAACAAATTGATGAATAAAAAACATCGAGGAATAATCACATGAATAATTGACGAATGGACAAAAAAATTTACGAATATAGAAACGAAGAAATATTCATTAAATTGAGAAAGAATGATTTGAATTGACAAATATACACTTAAGTTATTAAAGAATTTGTAACAAATTGATGAATAGATCAAAATGTGAGAATACACCTACACCTATAAAGCATTGAGGAATAATCACATGAATAATTGACGAATAGACAAATATTCAAAATGAATAAATGAATAAATTTACGAATTCACCTGATGAATATTAGAAACAGAGGAATATGCACAGGGAGTACCTAAAAAGTTTCGTAACTCGCAAAAACAACCGATTTTATGCAAGAAAATTTATGTAAAAAAAATTTATATTCACCGTATGCGAGTATGTAGAAAATGTACATACGAAAAAAGCATTGTGAAAGTCCTATTAAAATTGTTTAATGTACATTTTAAATTTATACCAATCTCGAGAAGCTGCACGAGCGATCGACGCGACGCGACGGCAGGTATTCGCATTAAAAATTTCACATTGATTTAATAAATTTCGCAATAATTATTCGCGTCGGGCTCCGTTTGTTGCACAAAAAAATATATTATATATACAGGGCGATTACAATAAATTCAATTATGTTTTTGATTTTTAACGCAATATATTATGGTCGATTCGAGCGAGAATTATTTATACCTAAAGAGCTTTTTAGCGAGGATAACTCTGGTGTATAAAATTGGTATCTTACTGTATACAGGGTGTCTCATAAGTTGATACTTTTTTAACTGCATATAGATCTTTTAATTTTTAATTATGAGCAACTTTTTCAAGTAATTTTTTGTAATATTCTGGTAAATAAAAAAGATGAAATTTTTTTATAAATTTCTTTAAATTTCGAATATTTTCCTGCCATTAACATACAGGTGGCAAAAAAATAATAAATATTTAATGACAAAAAATTAATTTTTCGATTGTTGAATTGAAAATGGCTCATCTTAATACAAATAATGAATTGGTGGACATTCTGATTATTTATGGAGAGTGTTTCCAAAGCAAAATGGCGACAATTTTGAGCAGTTCCTTTAAATTTTAATGAACAGTGCCGTATTAACTTACTTTTTATTAATTAAAAATTAAAAAAAAAACATGCCCTCTTATTTTACACAGAATATAAAAAAAGAAATTACTGGAAAAAGTAGCTAAGAATTAATGTGTCAACTTATGAGAGACCCTGTATATATTATTATAGGACTATTTTAGTGATATTTCATATATAAAATTAAATTAATAATTAATAAAATACCTAACAAGAAAAATTATCAATTAGGTTAGGTACTGCAATTAATGAACAGTGCCGTATTAACTAACTTTTTATTAATTAAAAATTGAAAAAAAACATGCTCTCTTATTTTACAGAATATTAAAAATTTTTACTTGAAAAAATAGCTAAGAAATAAAGTATCAACTTATGAGACACCCTGTATATTTTATTATACGACTATTTTAGTGATATTTCATATATAAAATTAAATTAATAATTAATAAAATACCTAACGAGAAAAATTATCAATTAGGTTAGGTACTGCAATTAATTAATCAGTATAATATTTAATGTTTTTTTAGAGACACTCTGTATATACATACAAATTGAGCTACTCTGTATGTATCTACACAAATTTTTCATCTAAATTTCCAAAAAAAAATCCCCAAAAAAATCCCAAAAAAAATTTCCAAAAAAAAAAATTCCAAAAAATAATTTCAAAAAAAAAAAAATCGAAACTCACTCGACCGAGCTCCGTCATCGTCTCAGCGCCGTCGAACCGTCGACCTCTCGCCCGAAGAATCAAATTCCACCATTCGGCGGCTCCCGCCTCGCCTCATCTCTCCCGCACCTGTTCGGTTTCCAGCCCCTAGCGGGCGCCGGGCGGCGCCCGAGCCGCCTCCGCCGCCGCCATCGGCCCCTTTCGCCCTCGGTCTTCGCCGGCCCGCCGTCCGGCGGCCGCTGCGACGCCGGCGCCGCCCCGCACGCGCCCTTTCGCCGCCAGATGCGCTCTTCGGGACGGGTCGATGCACTCCGGCGGACCTGAAAAAAATTAAATAAAATAAAAACTCATCTCGGTGAATCACCGTTGGTGAATCTTTCTCGCGGACGTTTCGATTTTTTTTGTATCGATCGATTTTTTTGGAAATTGGATTTTTTTTTGTATCGAGTTGTATACGGGGTGCGTTGAGTAAGTAATGCGTTGAGTGATATATTTCGAGTTGTAGAGTAGGATTTGTTTCGTTAGTTTAACTCACCCTGTATAAAGTTAATAGGGCGAAATTTAATGAAAATGTGCAAAAAATAGTTTTTATGAGCTAATTAATTAAAATAAAATATACTCTTTTTATATTGATGGTTAATTAGACGTTCTAAAATAAATCTACTATTATAAACAGCAGTGTATAATAAACTACTCGAAATTTATATTTCAACCCTTAATATACTCTCGAGATTTATACGAGCAGTGTATAAAACAACCCTATTTAAAACAATGTTCTATATTTGCAATTCATTCCTTACTCTCCACAAAATTTACACGACCAGTATAAATAAATCACCCCCTAAATAATACACTGCTCGAAATTGGTAATAAACTAATCAATTCTATAAACGAACAGTGTACAAACCATCCCCTAAATAATACACTGCTCATCATACACAACTCAATACCGAGCAGTGTATAAACAAAACCACCACCCCATTAAATAATACATACACTGCTCGATACAACCCCGTTGCACCCCCCAACCCCCGAAACTCGAACCGATCGAAAAAAACCCGCAACCCGCGCAAACTTCACCTCATCCCGCATCGAGTACCGCCCATCCAAGGTACGAATCGCGCCCCTAACATAGAAATTTTCGCGAAAAACTCACCAGGTGTCCGAGAGGCGCGTCTTCTTCTCGCTCGCTCGTTCGCTCGCTGTCCGCGCGGAGCTCCTCCTGGGCGGCGCTGCGACGACGACGGTCGTCGAGAAACTGCCGAGGACCCGCCGTCCCGGCTCCGGGTCGGTGGTGATCGGCACCGAGCCGAAAGGTACCATCCGCGTACCTCTACGCATACATACATGTATAGTATATATGTAGGTACGTTTCATCACCTGGGGGCTACCGTATATGGGCGGCGTGCCGGTCGCCTCCTTTCTTCGCGGTTTCTTTTTCTCCTCCACGAAATTTCGGTACTACTTCGGTACTAATTCGATGCCTCTGTTACACCGAAACAATTTCTCGATTTTATCATTTGCCACTTGTCACTTTTCATTTGTCACAGCTTAAATTTCACTTGTTGTATGTCATTTATCATCTGTCATTCGTCATCTGTCATTCGTCATCTGTCATTCGCCATCTGTCATTCGTCATATGTCATTCGTCATCTGTCATTCGTCATCTGTCATTCGTCATCTGTCATTCGTCAGCTGTCATCTGCCATCTGTCATTCGTCATCTGTCATTCGTCATCTGTCATTCGTCAGCTGTCATCTGCCATCTGTCATTCGTCATCTGTCATTCGTCATATGTCATTCGTCATCTGTCATTCGTCATCTGTCATCTGTCATTCGTCATCTGTCATTCGTCATTCGTCATCTGTCATTCGTCATTCGTCATCTGTCATTCGTCATTCGTCATTCGTCATCTGTCATTCGTCATTCGTCATTCGTCATCTGTCATTCGTCATCTGTCATTCGTCATCTGTCATTCGTCATCTGTCATTCGTCATCTGTCATTCGTCATCTGTCATTCGCCATCTGTCATTCGTCATATGTCATTCGTCATCTGTCATTCGTCATCTGTCATTCGTCATCTGTCATTCGTCATCTGTCATTCGTCATCTGTCATTCGTCAGCTGTCATCTGCCATCTGTCATTCGTCATCTGTCATTCGTCATCTGTCATTCGTCAGCTGTCATCTGCCATCTGTCATTCGTCATCTGTCATTCGTCATATGTCATTCGTCATCTGTCATTCGTCATCTGTCATCTGTCATTCGTCATCTGTCATTCGTCATTCGTCATCTGTCATTCGTCATTCGTCATCTGTCATTCGTCATTCGTCATTCGTCATCTGTCATTCGTCATTCGTCATTCGTCATCTGTCATTCGTCATCTGTCATTCGTCATCTGTCATTCGTCATCTGTCATTCGTCATCTGTCATTCGCCATCTGTCATTCGTCATATGTCATTCGTCATCTGTCATTCGTCATCTGTCATTCGTCATCTGTCATTCGTCATCTGTCATTCGTCATCTGTCATTCGTCAGCTGTCATCTGCCATCTGTCATTCGTCATCTGTCATTCGTCATCTGTCATTCGTCAGCTGTCATCTGCCATCTGTCATTCGTCATCTGTCATTCGTCATATGTCATTCGTCATCTGTCATTCGTCATCTGTCATCTGTCATTCGTCATCTGTCATTCGTCATTCGTCATCTGTCATTCGTCATTCGTCATCTGTCATTCGTCATTCGTCATTCGTCATCTGTCATTCGTCATTCGTCATTCGTCATCTGTCATTCGTCATCTGTCATTCGTCATCTGTCATTCGTCATCTGTCATTCGTCATCTGTCATTCGTCATCTGTCATTCGCCATCTGTCATTCGTCATATGTCATTCGTCATCTGTCATTCGTCATCTGTCATTCGTCATCTGTCATTCGTCATCTGTCATTCGTCATCTGTCATTCGTCAGCTGTCATCTGCCATCTGTCATTCGTCATCTGTCATTCGTCATCTGTCATTCGTCAGCTGTCATCTGCCATCTGTCATTCGTCATCTGTCATTCGTCATATGTCATTCGTCATCTGTCATTCGTCATCTGTCATCTGTCATTCGTCATCTGTCATTCGTCATTCGTCATCTGTCATTCGTCATTCGTCATCTGTCATTCGTCATTCGTCATTCGTCATCTGTCATTCGTCATTCGTCATTCGTCATCTGTCATTCGTCATCTGTCATTCGTCATCTGTCATTCGTCATCTGTCATTCGTCATCTGTCATTCGTCATCTGTCATTCGTCATCTGTCATTCGTCATCTGTCATTCGTCATCTGTCATTCGTCATCTGTCATTCGTCATCTGTCATTCGTCATCTGTCATTCGTCATCTGTCATTCGTCATCTGTCATTCGTCATCTGTCATTCGTCATCTCTCATCTGTCATTCGTCACTTGTCATCTGCCATCTGCCACTTGTCATCTGTAACTTGTCATCTGCCACTTGTCATCTGTCGCGTAATTGTCATCTGTCACTTGTCATTTGTCGCTTGTCGTTTGTCATTATCATATGTCATTGTCATCTGTCATTTGAGGTATATCGTAGTTTCGCGGAAGAAAATGAGTAGAAGGTGCGGAGGTGGCGTGTGGAAAATGGGGTCGACGAATTCGCATAAATTTTTGTAAAAGATAAAATGCGAATTTATGAATTCGCAAATTGCGCGTTTATATTTTGCTCTCTGCGTTGTTGTTTTAGAAGGTTTTATTTCTATTAAATAATGTCGGATATAGTATGTTGATGTGGCGCGGTAGCCGAAAGTACCCATAAATGGCGCGGGTACCCATAAATGGGCGGGTTTACCGGAGGCGCCGTTTAGCTTTTAAATGTGGGTGCTTTAATGCTTTTACGCTAATTGTATATTTTATTTTTCTACGTAATAGTACGCCCTTGCGAATTTCTCTCTACTTGTTTCATCAGAAATTTAGTAACTTATTTTAAATATTTTTTTTAGGTTTGTAAGAGTGACTGAAAAAAAACCAACTCGCCCGAATGTAGTATCAACTTGAGGTTAGATATGCGGGGAATTCGATTAAAAAACCGTAGTTTACATGCGGGTTTATTCGGAAGAAAGAGTCCTAAAGAGTTTTTCTAAAGCGCATAATAACCGAGCTCGTCTCGATGGAAATTCGAGCGTGGAAGCGACAAAAAGCGAATCGGGCGAGTCGAATTCTCGAAAACAATAGCACGTGGACGGTCCGTGCGATTTTTATTTTATTTTTACGAAAGACCAGTAGCTTATCGGCATCTCGAGCAGGGCCGAAATGGATTTTTTTTTTGTTCGATCTGCCCTCGTATACCGCTCAATTTTTTTAAATCATTTTAATCGTATATATTGTTAAGATAATAATATTATTTTATTTGGGAATTTTGTTACTTACCGTCGCAAAAGTAGAGAGAAAGTTGATGAAAAAATATTTTAAACTAGAGAGAAAAGTGATTGAAAAAAAAGTTTCAAAGTAGGGAAAAAAGTGATTGAAGAAAAATGTTTTTTAAAGTAGAGAAAAAGAATTGGAAAAGTAATTGGAAAATAAGTTTCAAAGTAGAGAGGAAAGTGATGGAAAAAATAGATTCAAACTAGGGAGAAAAGTGATTGAAAAAATAGTTTCAAAGTAGAGAGAAAAATGACTGGAAAAAAAGTTTCAAAGTAGAGAGAAAAATGCCTGGAAAAAAGTTTTAAAGTAGAGAGAAAAGTGATGGAAAAAATGTTCAAAACTAAGAAAAATTCTTTCTTTTTCTCGGATCAATTTAAAGACTTTAAACCCCTTCGATTAGGCGAATTTCACAACTAATTAATAAACGTATTTTTGTTGTTATTTTTTCAGATTTTCTTCTGGATTCGCCTCTGGAAATTAAACTCTCTAATAAACGAAACGTGAGGAGGAAATTTTAACCTGTTACGAATTCTCGGATTCTCGTCGATTCGCCATCAAAGCGGTGCGAAATGAAAATTACACGTTATTTTATATACAGTTTGTCCCCGAATAAAAAAAATATTCGATACAAACTGTATAGAATTAACCTCATTAATATAATATAAAATAGTTGTATACAGTTTCCGAAATATAATTAAAAACCCCATAAATATTATTTCATTAATTACCTTATTACCCCCGTAACATTATTGTTTTTGTATATACGAGGCGCGAGCGATAATTTCGCTCGTTACGAAAATCCCGGCAATTTAAAATACCTCGTAAAATTATACCGGATTAATTCGGATATTAATTAAGTCGTTAAAAATGAGCGAATTAAGTCAGCTTTTTTCGTTTTTTAATACGAAATATTTTAATTAAATTTTCTTTTCTCTTTCCAGGTAAGTTTTTCGCCCGCTCGCCTCCATTTGGTAAGCACATTTCACGTTAATAAGATACGAGGGGGGGACGATGGGTTATTAAAAATCATAATTAGACATTCGGGCATTGTGTAGCCGATGAATATACGAAAATATTTTAACGGTCCCGACTATAGAAAGATGGACGTGTCGGTAATAGAGGAAGCTCTTAGCGGTAATTAATGGGAAACCACCATTCGGTAGCCTCTGTATGAAAAAAAAAAAAAAAAAAAAGGATGATCGGCTAGATGTTAATCACAAATCGATCTCCTTTAATTAAGCAATACGCTGAATATTTAATAAGTTTTTTTTTATATATCGAGCGTCTATTGCGTGCGGAATGAAACGTTAAACATAAAACATAAAACATAAAACATAAAACATAAAACATAAAACATAAAACATAAAACATAAAACATAAAACAGTACCTTTTATGCGCGTTATGTAACGTTACACGTGTCACGAATGGGGCCCTAAACCCAATGATCAGGCGCGCATTCTGCACCGAGTATATCTGGTTACAATCGACGCCTAATAACAATATTCATAACTCACATCGTCTTGATTTCCTCGAGGCGTAGGCGGTCAAGTCGTACTTCGTTTCTGGAAAAAATAAAAAAAATTCAATGTCTACGGAATGTCCGTACAGAGGAAAATGGTTTTTGTATCAGCATTGATTTGGAGAAAGAAATGATTCTCTCTAGTTTAATAGTTTTTTTTTCCAACAACTTTAAAACTTTTTTTCAATCAATTTTCTCTCTACTTTAAAAACATTTTGTCTACTTTTCTCTCTAGTTTTAGTTTTTTTTCAATCACTTTTTTTTCTACTTTGTAACTTTTTTTCAATCACTTTTCTCTCTACTTTAAAACTTTTTTTTCAATCACATTTCTCTCTACTTTGAAACTGTTTTTTTAATCATTTTTCACTCTACTTTAAAAAACTTTTTTGTTCAATTACTCTTCTCTCTAGTTTTAATTTTTCTTCAATCACTTTTCTCTCT